AGAGGTGAATGCTCAGGGTGGCTATTCATGGTAATGCACTACAAGCAGCTGCATCGAGGGGGAACGAATCCGTTGCGCGGCTTCTCCTCGAGAGTGGGGCAGAGGTGAATGCTCAGGGTGGCCATTATGGTAATGCACTACAAGCAGCTGCATGTATGGGGAACAAATCGGTTGTACAGCTTCTCCTCGCGCGTGGGGCGGAGGTGAATGCTCAGGGTGGTCTTTATGGCAATGCACTACAAGCAGCCAGAGCGATGCAGAAAGAGTCAGTTGTGTCGCTTCTCCTGAAATATGGAGCCGAGGAAGGTCTGAATGTGGCCTATGCGCTGCAGTAGGAGTAGTGTAGGTAGTCACGAGATTGTTGATAGTTCAATTACTTGAAAAAACAGATTACTAACGGGATATCGATTCTTTGAGTTATCTTTTTCCTGTCCTCCTGATCCCTAATCTCTCGTTTTTCCTCATGTTCCCAATTCTACCTTAAACACCCCCGCCCCCATTCACATATCATTCCTATCACTGCCAGCATTCTACCACAACCCTGCAGCGCCTTGCTCATACTCACCCTGAACGAAGAAATTGCTCGATTGCGCGTTGTGTCCGTTGTGCCGGTGGCTACCACCGGACACCGGGAGGGTTCTCCGGGAAACCTTAGCTCCCTTCTTGATTATACTCATCATGTGATACGCACAAACTTAAACCCCCAACTACCCTCTGTACCCATCTGACCTCTATATTTCCTCTATAGCTTGGTCTTATTTCTCTGTCCACCTTCCCTCACAACTGGAAAACAACCACCCTCACCCGCCATTACAAAAGCGGTGGCCACAGATTGGACGTTCCCATCTATCTTACCTCACCCCGAGTGCTTGATCCTCCATCGCTATTATTATTATTATTATTATTATTATTATGGTTGTTTCACTACCAGAACAAGATAGTATATTTTTGGATTCTCCAGCCTAGGGTTAGGGTCTATTTTTATACTTCCTATCCAGTTGTGAATTTGTTAGCAGACCCCCTGATGGAAGGAGCAATTGTATTATTCCGGAAGTGGCAGTAATCTACCAAAGGGTTTGGGAAAGGGTGGGAGTGTCAACCAGGATTGCCTACTCAAGTCGCTGGATTGAAGTCGAGTTTTTTTTGGTGGGCCACCAATCCGGTGGTTTGCCTTATGATGCATGTGTTTATTGGTTGTTTGGCCGGATTTGGTCTCGGCGTATCCTGGACCGGGGATTTTGGACCCCTTTTTCCCCCTCCCGTTCTTCCATACTTCTTTCCATACTTCCTTCTCTCTCTTCCTTTGCCTAAGCCGTATACGGCCATATCTGCCGGTTCGTGGATAGTGAAGCTAAGCTTACCCAGGTATGAACCGACCCGCGGCAGCTCTTGCAAAAGATTAAGCAGGGTTGAAAATTAGGTGAGCCTACCGGACTCAAGGCCGACGAAAATTCAATCTGACCCAGCCCAAGCCAGCGAATCGAATTCCAGGCCCATCCAACAAATCCGTTCGGGCCGCTTGTGACACGAAGTGACCGAGATATGTGGTGATTAAAGCAAGTTAGATATAGAGCAGCCCCTTGTTTTCTATTCCAGGACCAGAGCTAGCAATAATCTTCTAAGAATTTCTCAGATCAAAGATGCCATGTCCCAAGCTCCTTTGAGTACAAGGTAAGCGATTAAAGCCGGATTTCCATCTCTAGAATTTCTTCTAGAAAGCAAATCTATCCCCCAAAGACCCGGTCCCCGGTACCCACCCTGGCACGCATGCAGTATAGGAGTACCTCCAGAGATCATAAATGGCCTGGTAGCATACGAAGTAGATCAGAGCAGGGTTTGCCCTCCACAGAGGAACAGTAGGAGCGAGTTGGTCAGAAGCTTTACTCTCGGGGAGGGTTCCCAACCGCCCCGGGCAGGGTAAGGACGGTAGGGCATGGCGTCCGTCTCGGATAAAGACCGCCGTTCGAGGGGTTGACGCCCGGGCCCGGGAGTCTTAATACAGATGGCATCTTCCGGCCGTCATCTGTAGGGCCCGGCTCTCATCTGTAGGGCCATTTGCAGGTGAGACACCTATAGGGCCCGGGTGGCCGTCCTAGGTAAAGGTTATGACGGACTACAAGACAAGTGCCCGTCCAAGCTAGAGTTCCAGAAATTGGCGTCCGTCCTGTCCGAAGCTAATGACGGACGGGCTAGACGCTTGGAAACACTGCTCTCCCGTTCAGCGCCTTCCCCGGACTGGTGACGAGGGGAGAAGTATGAGTAAATCGTAGTCAAAGAATCCCGATCCCTCCATGGATCACCACTCTTCTCTCATCTCCTTGAGTGTCTCGATTCCCCGACCCATGCGCCTTAATAAGCGGAAGACATAAGCGTGAAACCTCTTAGGAAAAAACTCTGATAGCCCTAGAAACTCCGGAACAAAAGAAACCACCCCCAAAATTTCGGAATCTCCATGATCATCCACAACCCACTGCGCTTCGCCAGCAACTTCGCCGACTTCAGCAGTGAGACCTTCCGTCAGAAATTGCCATTCTCAAGGCCTTCCCAAGCTTTAACTTCGCAAATCTCTAGGAGGAAGCAGCCAATATTCCGTTTTACCTGTACAATCTGTAGGCTCCTAAGGACAGAGCAAAGTGAATCCCACAGTTCACCCTTTCCTTTATGTACTATTCCAAGCTCCGACGAGTATTTAGAGGATGGCGTGAAATGTAATGGACCTGGCCCAAGTTCGCGGATGGGGTTTCTCCCACCGCCTGTATCCAGTGACTACTGCTTCTACCGTATGGGTTCAGGGGGCTAAGATAGTCGTAGCTGGTTGTATTTTTGTAGGCATCATACCTCGTCACTCGCCATCTTTTTGGGGGAAAGTGTCGAAATTGTTACTTCAATGTGATAAAAAGTACAGGGATGTCTGGATACTTACTAACAATTTGGATTATCATTATATGCATGATAATGCGAGTCATCTTGATTTATACTGATCTGACCGCATCTATAAGTAGGAATCTGTAGGATGGACTTGGGTACATGTTCGATGGTAGACAATATAACGTCTCTCACAACAAATTGATCTTTCAACCTCCAAGCCTTTCATATCTTGAGCCAGATTCCTTCCCTCAATACCGACTCTTTCTGTGTGGCTTACGACAAGAGCCGAAAACGGCCCAAAAGCTGGAGCAGACAGGGACAGAATTAATGCCAACCTCACAAATTACTGCTTCAGCTGCCGAGAACTCTCCCGCACGACATCCCTGCCAGTTGTCGGATGTGGATGTGGTTGATGGAGGAAAGACTTGATCGTCTCCAGCAATCTCAGAGATAGAGGCTACATACAGACACACAAAGCCTCCTCACTTAGTCCA